AACTTTTAGTCTGTGCCAGCCGTAGCTGAATGGAGTAGCGACTATAATAGCAGCCAGGGGAATGATGTCTTACTCGGCCAAAAACCACAGTCAGGAAAGAGGATAATAGATGAGTATGAAGGTTCCTGAACTCTGTACTGCCCCGGCGAATGGTGGAAACCTACAGGGTGGACCTGCAATTATTTGAACCCTACTTTTACCAAAGCCTGCCGAACGGGCCTGTGATATTTGCTCCCACACTCAAACCAACCTGCCCTAGGTACCTGAAGGTAGGCTATTTTATATCGATATCGTGACATGATAATCTAGCGTTAAATCACGGTCACTGTAGCGGGGGGAAACTATGTTGTCCTCTCATGAAATGAGTACTCAAGTTTCTGGGGTATCAGACTGAGTTGACCGCGAAGGCAGGTTCTGGCTCAGGGGAACTATTCAACTAGTGTTGCGGCTCTTATTGTGCGCCTCTTAAGGTGCAGTTGACAACCCTGCTGTGTGTCGTCATATACAAGGTTTGTTAGCGAAGGCTCTGAACATCAACACTCCCAATTTCAATGCTCAATATACCACCCTATCTCTTACATTGCCTCTACAAATCTTAATTTTCTCCATTGAGACAGCAACGTTTACCCAGTACGACTGGATTTAACTTCATTAAAAGGGGTTATATTCCAAATCCGGGAATCTCTCTAACTCATTACCCCACTCAGGATCCGCTGGGCTGGGTTTCTGCAACAATAGATACGGCTTCAAATTTCCGGCACCATGTTTTCCTTTGCACCTATTCTCTTGAATACACTGAACAGCAGCGTTCGAGGATATTAGCTGTCTGCGGTTCCACCCTGCCACACCGGCTCTTCTATGTCCCTCATGCGCGGATGTTGATCGCAAGTCTTGCAGGGACATCGACCCAGTTCCAACATCTGGAGGTGACAGCGGTGTTTTGGAGTGCGGGATTGGCAGGTTACAGGTTTTCCACCTCCTTGGGGTACACTTATCATTGTTTTAGGGCCTTCATCTTGTACCGTAATCGAATCATTGTCGCCCCTCTTCTTTGGTAGCGTCCTCTTTTCACCGGAGGCTCTATTGGATCTTGTTACAGTGTATATGGCTTATGGTGCCTACTGTTCATGCTGTTATAAGCCCGCTGTCTTTTCAAGTACCAAAGGATGTGACCCCCTCGAGCCTACAGCTACTTTCAGGGTCCAGTGTAACCTCAGATCGCACTATGGGTGTGGTTCCTCGGTACTGAACGAGGGGGGGGAGGTCGAGGGGGTTCTGGACAAGAGTTTGCCCATGGGAACCAAGAACTTACGGGCATTCATTCTATGGAGGTAGGAATTCTCCACTTGTGACCTGTGCTAACTAAACAATTGGTATAGTGTCTGCTCGTCGGGCAGTGATTCCCCCAGCTTCGGTGGTGCTCAGCCACCCCCCTCCCTCCCCCACACATAGCAGCGCCTCGGGATTTGGGACCCTACCATGGTCCATGTATGCTCAGTTGGGTAGTTCACAGGGGCCGCAGCAAGAATTTTTATGTTATGGGTGTGCTCTGTCTCACAGGTCGTGAGACTCTGAAAATCTTTATATGCTGCCATCGCCTGTGGGCAGCTGCTATAATACTATGGTTTTACTTTATGTTTCTACTCTATGTGTATTAGTCCTACACGTAACTTATAAATCTCAGAAAAAAAAACCCCGCCATTGCCCAATATTGTCAGGTTGTATTATCTTCTTGCTGATGAGTACGCGAATAGTAGACCTTGTTTCAATTGACTATCCCGGCTAGAGTATCGGGAGTAAGGGCCCGTTTACCTACAGACAGCCATCAAGTGCGCATTGATGGTTCCCACCGTCAAGGGGGTCTTAATGGTCGGTTGCATCAGGGGCTGAATTCCTATTCCTTGTTACCTAACTCACAGTTTAGAGCAACTCACCATCTAACTTATCGTACGATCCTAGTGCAACTAGAAAATATTACGTGATATTATAAGAGGGTTGTGAACTCCCAATTCCCAACTTCCTCTCCCTTTCTCCCACTTCCGACCGCTTAAGATCTTGGGCCCAACTGCTATCCACTAACACGACCTACAATGACTCCTCAAGAGTTCTTCCACCTCTTCTAGTGGCCCATTTTCACTTGTTTTGCTACAATAACCCAAATCTCTCAAGGTGTCACCTAAAAAAATAGACCTTGAAGGTAGTAGACAACAGTATCAATCTATTATATTTATTCTAGAACCACCGGTGTAGAGAAAGTAGAGGATTTGCAGTCGTGGTATGGCTATTGTGGGTGTGACAGGTCTTAGGCATAGTGAAAATCTATGAATTTTTGAGCATGATGGCCTTGCTACCGCACCCCTGGAGCTACTTCTCATCTGGACCGTCAAGCATCCAAAATTACTGACTGTTGAAAATTAGGTGAACATGTTTGGCACTGCTTGTTGCAACGCAACTCTCATCTAGCGGTGCCATCAAGTCGCACCATACAAGTTTCTTAAACTAGACAGTTAGGTAAACGGGCTCTAACACGGTTGAGGAGAGGGCAGTAGTACCAATCGGATATCAGAAGCTCTTCGGTTCATGCCCTTGAGCCCCTCAGCAGTGCTTTTGGTTTCTATTACTGATCTTAGGGATGGCCTGGGTGATAATCGCCCCCTTAGCTGGCGACGGGATGTGCAGCTGCTGATTTCCGGATGTGTTTTCACGGTGTGCTGCTGTCAAGGTGGGATAGGGTTGGCCTGGGCCACTGCCCCTTCGTTTTGTCCAGGCGCTTGCCCAGGGGCTCTTTTGTGTGTTGTGATCAGCTCGGGAAACAAATGTGAATTATATTTGAACCTAGTACTATGAACTCCCGATACAGCTTAAAAACCCCCATCTCTCTAGCCATCCATGGTGCGAGATTGGTACACAGCTCCCCTCCGCTGCGGTCACAGTCATGCGGTGGAGGAAGAGCGAGGTTAGCACACGTAACACCAATATTGTGCGTGTTGTCCATAATAGAATATCGAAGGTTGAGTATGATAGGGTTAGAAAAAACCCGTATCGACAGCAATATCTGTACAATCTCTCTGAGTCCCCCGCAAACCCGGCATCCTCTGCGGTCTCCCCTACTCCTTGTGTTCGGGAAGAAGTGGGAACGACCCGGTGTAGGTCTTCACCGCCCTGGAGCAGCCAAACACTCCCTTGTAATATCCCAGTCTTATGCCCAATATTCTTCATAAAACCCGACAATTGGACAAATTCCGACAATTTCACTCAGTTTCGGATGAGGTTTCGTAGCCAGGATGCGGGAGACAAAATTTCAATGTCGTCCCGTCCGCCATGGACCAACAGAATAAGCTCATCTGCATATGCAGCGGTGCGGCCTAACATAGAGATTCAGTCCTTGCCAACCATTGGCTAGAGGGAAGGGGACAAAGTTATTAGTATCCGTTTATTCTCGCTTCTCCCAACACCAGGTCCTGAGCCTTAATATTGGTAGGTATTATGGGCGCCAAAAATAAATAAGCATGACACCGCACACTCAGGTATCGATATTTTCTTTCACCGAAATTCATCAAAGCTTTAAGCAGGCCGTTGGCTCTCCACCTCCCCTCCGCCCCCTACCTGGGCCCTCCATGCGCCAATGCCGGAGCATATCCGGATCGCAGGACTGAACTAGGGAGGGGATGGGGCGAATGGAGGAAAAAATCAAAAGGTCAGGAAGAGCAAAAGTAGAGACAACAAAACTTTCTGCAGGTGGAGCATACAAGAAAATTATTTCCCACAAAGCCAGTAGATTAATTAGGCTCCGTTCGGCGGGAACGGAACCGTTTGAGACCGTTCAATTTTCTCATACAAAACAACCGTTACGAAACGGAAGGGTTATGGAATTTGTATAGGGAACGGAACGGAACAGACGCAAACGGTCGCATCCGAACAGACCCTTAGGTATGCATGCTATTCGGGTGCCCGAGTGGCAGTAGGGTAGCCATATACCTGAGCCGCTGAGTGGAAGTCGTGCGGTACAGCAAACAGGGGGACATTATTCGCCGCCCAACCAGGTAGTAAAGATACTAAGCACACCACTACGGTCCTGTATGAACCACTTTACCCACTCCGGTCAGAGGAGAGTCTCGGAACCCTCCAACCCCCTTGATCCTCCCATCCCAACCCCGGTCGGAATTGTCTGCCCAGCCGTCGGGGAGAGCCTGTTCCGCCAACCTCTATTTCGGTCTACAAATGGCTGCTTTGGCTACGGGGAGCGGACTAGGAAATCTGTCCAAGATGTGTATGGCTGTGAGAGCAATTCCAATGATACTAGTGAGCCATAGTAATCTGCACCATGCACGTCATGCAAAAACAGAGAGAGAGAAACAAACTGGAATAGAGCCCAAATTTAGTAATATCTATGCGCGGCCAAGCCCTCCATCTAGATACCAGCTGTACAGAAATCGCATTCAGGAGCTAGTCCAGAAAAGATTGACTAAGATGGAGGAACATCCGTAGTATGAGAAGGGGGTGGGAGGTTAAACTCCTATTCAGCACTCCGTAAGGGGCAATCGCAATTACGGAAAATCTGAAATCTTTTCATCTACTGTGACACATCCAACCGTCAGGTGTAGCTAGATGTAGTATCACCTTTTATTTTTATAGATGATAGTGTGGGCTTCTAGATAGTACTGCTTCCTCTCGGTGCCATAGTCTATCGGCTCTTCATGCGGAGAGCCTCATTCTGGAAGCCTGGTGAGGGACATTTCTTGACCAAGATTAAGATATTTGATGAAGAGGCAGAGGAAAAGCACAGTATTTTGGCGAAAGTTGCCACTGCCAGTGAGGGAGGTGGGAGGTAGGGGCGGGTCCTACAACGCACCACAGACAGGGCCCGCATCGTAGCTCTACACCGGTGACAAATGAACTGCAGCTCGGAGCTGATCCCCCGGTAGAGCTTTGAATCACCCATATTTGTGCTCATTCATCGGGTGGTAGTTTCACATGCACTCCGGCCAGGACACAAACTTTCAAACAGGATGCTTGTCCTTGGGCAAAGTGGATATTGGAGTGGATATTTGTAGTGATGTGTGTAATATTGAAGCCTTTGCGAAGTTCTGTGAAAAAAGAAAGTGGTACAAAAACGAAACACCCCCCTCTAGACTCTCTCTTTGCCCTCATCGGATAATTCAATTTCCTGCCAGCTCAAGGGATTTTTCCATGTGCTCTGCAGCCGTAGAAAAGCGACCAGCGCAGCCCGTTCATTACGCGTAAAGTCAATGGCACGGACCAGAATCATCCCATCATTTCCATGCGCATGCTTCGACACCTCATGGTAGATGTTGTGGACGCAATCCATAACTCTTTCGCGTACCAACCTGTGGGTTTGCACTTCCTTCTGCAACACCGCATCAAACGCCTTGGTTTTGGCTATCTCGTTAAGCACCTGTTGTATTCCCTTGGAAGACCAAATATCTTTCGGGTGTTTGTACTGATAAACGATGCGTTCTGTAGTTGAATATTAGTCCTGCATATAAGGGCTAGGTTGATATTGTAATACCATACCAAGAGCCCCACGGATATTGAAGTTTCGCTCCAACCACATCTTCTCAGAAAGTATTTCCAGAGTTTTCTTCTGTAGTAATATTAGGGGTAGCATGCAAGTCAAGGGTAGAGAAGAACAGACTTTGAGGTCTTCGCACCTCCAGTTCATATCGTTATATTCATTCTCCCGCTCCTGCAAAACCTTCCTATCTGGTTCCAGAAACTTCCTATAGTGATCCTTATCAGCCTGCAGTGCCTTTTCAAATGAATCCTGCATGTCTTTCATTTTCTTGTCATGGGAACTCCTAATGGAATCCATCGTGCTCTTATGCGAACTCATATAAATCTGGTCTTGGGCTTCAAGGCGTTTGGATGATAAGGACTCATGCTCGGCTATGGCGCTCTTATGGTACTCTAGCGAAACGAGTGGTTCCTTGTCCCCGTTTCGACAATAGTTGAAGCCGATGGTGTAGGGGCGTGCAAAAGGATGAGCAATAAGTTGGAAGGACCGCAACATTTTCCCTAGTATGCAAGGAGAATAACCTGGTGAGCAATAGGCTTGATCTGTAGAGCGGTGAAGTGATCGGTAGGAAGGAATGGTTTTGCTTGTACCAGCTTAATACGCCGGGCTGTTACTTACCTATCTATCGGTTATAGGGCAGATTAGGTGTACCCGTAATCACGCTAGTGGGAATAGTATGAACTGATGCAAATGGCTTGGTTCCTGGACCTTCCTGATGGATGGATTACCTATGGGGCATGTGGTCACAATATGATATTATAGGTATACTTCTAGAAGACATATCGCTCTTGTTTTGGATTCCGTGCTGGTAGACACGATATAGCAGGATCGATACCCGTTGTCATACACTAGTCCGTACAGTCTGGGAACCTTGGTTTAGTTTGCTATTTGCCACTCTTAGAGGGGTAGGTATATGGTAGTAGGATGGGCCCTGTGCCTTTCCACATCCTGCATGATTTAGCATCCGGTAAGTCCTCTGGGTTTGTATGATATAGTTCATTTCGTGCCTCACTCGGGACATGGCATAGCACTTTGTATGGTGGAATGTCCTTGGAGCTGGCCAAAGAAATAAAGAAGAAAAAAGAAGACTTTTTCACTAACAACGGGAATCACCCCCTATTTCTAAGGGCTCACAAGCTGGATATACGTTCTTTTCTCCAAGTTAAGCGTCTGAGGAGCGGGAGGCTATGATGGCCGTGTTGGCGAGAAGCAGAAGTTCAGCTTGAGGCACATTAAATTTCAACTACAAAGCTCATGAGAGCACTAACCGGTGTCCCGCTACCGCACTCGATTCCTAGAAGAACCGTGTTAAAATCAGTATCCATGATCCGGCTCAGCTCAACCCCACCGGACAAAACACCTCTAGCAGAAATGGCGTTTCCTGGACGGGGTATATGTTGGGAAGCCTGAGCACTCTGGATATCCTTAATTGGTATTCTTTTTTATGCTAGCCTGATCCACTAAAATCTGCGATAACTGATCCAGCGTGTTCTCATGGTGCACTCGAAAAGGCTCCGCTGAAAGAGGGGTGCTTGTACCAGAACATGGCTTGGCATCTAAAAGACTACCAGCATACCACAAGTGTATGCTACTAGCGTTGCCTTGAACGCTAGGTCCGAAACTTATACAAGTACTTGCCTAACAAAACACACGGGACACGGGAGACTCCGGGGAGGTCACTACGCCGGAGGTGCAAGTAAATTTTGCCTTTATGATGCCTCGGTGGTGGGGGCTTACCTCCCCAGATAGTTTGGGTTGAATATTTGACTATGTACAGTCCAAGGGTAGAGTACCGGTAGCAAGGGTAATCCTGTTGGATCACGTCGTGGTTGGCTCGGTGGGCTCGTGGGTGTACAAAGAGCGGAATTCTGTCCCGCCGCCCAACAAAGAATTCGGCCCACCTTTCTCCTTTACCCAACCTTGGTGGTGACCGGGGGTATAGTTGGAGACTCAAGAAAAAAAAAAAGAAAAAAAAGAGAAAAAAAGGGTTACCAGCAGTAATTGCAAGGAAAGGGCTAAAGTCTGACAGACTGATGCTCTCACCAAAAGCGCTAGGGCAGCATCTTGCCGGTATATTTGTTGCTGGCAAGACTATTTCAAGGCGTGACACCTATCTTTCCCTGAAGACTCTACCGGCGGGGTGTGGGAAAACAGAGGATGTCACAGCCCTAGGCACTATTGTCTGTCTCTGACTCTTCATCCCGACCCAAATTGATTTTTTCAGTCTTTGGCGATTTGAATTCATTCCCGCTCATCTCAGTTTCCCCACCGTACTCCAGTTCTCACCCCTTCCATAACCCACCGTGCTAGAGGATCAATTGTAGCCGAGCGCAAGAACATATCCGGGTAACCGGGCCCCAGCACCTGGGTGACCGGTCTGTCGCTAGTTTTGTTTGCCAGCGCTTTTTTTTTTTCCCCCAAGTCCTGCGTTTGGCCAGCCATAAGCAACGCAGGTAGGTTTGTGTGGACGGGACCGTTCTGCATGCTTTATCATGTAAGGTGGTGAACGGTCAAGGTATATCACGGAGATTCAGGAGCCTCGATCTCATTAACACTCCTCGCACAAAATTTAGTCTCCACCATTGTCAGTTAAACAGAGATAGACGATACTTCTACTCGTATATCCCCTACCCCACCGTGGATAGTCGCTGAGCCACCGGTTCTCGCTATCCCAGCCGCATTGACCGGCGTATTCTTGCGCTCCCACCCCTCACAATCTTGCTACGATAGGCGAAACCAGGCCTTCCCGTTCTCGGGTTTTTTAAGCGGGGCACTTGTGGTGGTCATTTGGGTTAGCGACGCGGGGTGAGTTTCCCCAAATACACTTCCTGAACCAGTCGCATGCTTTCTTTTCTCAAAGGCCATACGTTTTGGTGAGCCAGTGCTGTACGAGTACCGGTACTGTACTGTGGGAAGTTCACAGCGGGCGTCGGGGGGACTTATGCCTGTAAAAAATACTGTTGCCTGCTGCCTCTTGGGCTGCCTGAAGCAGCCAAATTCTAGTAGACCTGCGCTAATGCCAGATTTGGCAGCGGTTAGGCGGGCTTGGCCGGTAAATTACGAGTAGATCCTTGTATGGTGTAAAAAGGACTTGGCACTCTTAACGGTTTTCGCAGCCAATTGCAAAGCTCAGTTGATCCCAGTGCGGGTCTAGCGCGCCCAGCCAAGAAGACGGGCGGATACAGTCAGGCGCTGGAATACTGCAGTGTACTCAAGTACAGCGCTGTACTCAAGTACGAGTACAATACCGGTACTCGAGCACAGCGTTATAGTACAGGAGAGAGTACAGTACTGATGAGGATACAGCTCGCTAGGAACGACTCCTACCCACGTCCTCCCCCAACCCACAGCGATCTCCGAGACTGCCACAAACCTTCCCTATCTACCGACGCCTCCAGTACCCCCATATTGCTTTCGTGCCTCTTCGGTAACACGTGCAGGACCATACCGGACGATACTACAATTTGGAGGTTGAGTGTGGAGATACTCTGGCAGGATTTTAAGTAGAGACAGGCAGGTTCCGATCGGGTTCTAAAAGCTAAGGGCCTCCCGGCTACATTAGAAGCAGGGGGCGACTGGAGAAGAGGGCACAAGAATGACTCTGCACTAACCCCACCAATAATAATAAAAAAAGAACCACTATGGTCCCTCCACCCTATCTGATCATAGCAGTCAGCAGTAAAAGTGATAAGGGCCTGTTTGGCCGGAACGGTAGGCAGGGTCGACCGTCCTGTTCAGAGATGAGTTTACCAGGAAGAATGGTTGTCTCGGCATGGTTGGAAGCGAGGGAAACGGAACGGGTCCTGAACTGGCACCGGGGTTCTCTAATCCCCACCGCTCCGGCAAGCCTCAAAACATACCGTCTGTGGCGCGTGTCCCAACCATGGCCGATCCCTTCGTTCGTTCCCGAGTTTCACGACCTTTTAGCGCGTAACTTGTCCTCTGATCTTCAAAAACTAGGCTCATGAAAGGACAGCTACGGTTGCTCAATGGTGACCTGGCCAATGGAATTTGTGACTCCCAAGGAGTCAATCAATCTTTCTCTCAAGTAGCGAGACTATCATCCCATTCGTCTTGGGCATGAGGTCCTGAATACAGATGAAGGGATGGGAATGGGTGGGGCTCTTCTTTGGCTTTCTACAATTTAACACTAGTACTGTGCAAACTGGCGGTGGCCAGTTCCAGATGAGGGAGGCAGTAAGTGGCACAAGGCGCGAATCTCATGCTTGAACCGGGCCACCCAGAAAATCGCCCATGAGCATCTCCCCGGTATGGGGCCACAGAATTGTCTAGCTGAAATAGATCATGACCCTGGTCCTCCCCCAAGTTCTACAAGGGATTCAGTTACGGAGCCTCCCATGACCTTTATCATCGAACTTGTACAGTACTCCAGTGACTGAGGTACCCCTGGTGTGGGCTGCTGCAACAGATGTGCAGCTTCCATTCCCGCTCTGAATACCCTAGCCTCTCACCCTATGAGCTTTGGCGAGCACAAAAACAAGAGATCAGTTCAAATTTATTCCGAAGTTCTAATAATTATTGCCACATTCAGGGCTCGGGAATACAGGATCGAGTTGACCGCAGGGCAAGTTGTAGCCTCGGTCTCTTCCGGTGTCGCGAGATCTGGGCCGCGGTTGCATGAAACAGGCGTACCACATGAAGGAAAAAATGGTACAAGGCACAGGGGGGGTGTTTTCGCACACACTACTAGTACTTTGTGACCTCACCAATTTTCTAATGTTTTTTTGCTGGTTAGCCACTTTGGTGTGTGCGAAATTACCCCCCCTGGTACTTGTACTTGTATGCTTATACCGAGACAAACCTGAGCCTCATATATCATACCAGTAGCCTCACAGGTTCGCTGAGGAGTTTTTGTGTGCGAGCGATGGCGACAAGAGCAAGAATCCTAGCAGCCGAGAGATTAACCGATGCCCGCTCCCGCGACTCCGGATTCTTCCCCATGCGGCAGGAGAACCCAACCGGAGCCATGGAAATGGGATAGCGGCGCCGCCTATGTTGAGGTTCTCGTCTCGCGGGGCAACCCTTATCCCTGTCAGGCAAACAAACGCATGTTTGAAAATGTTCTTAACGCTAACACTCCCACTTTCGCTGCTCCATCTCCCCTCCCATCCCTCAACTTGCCGGCCCACAGAATCCTCTCTCCGTTCCATTGATAGTTTGGTCCCACTGGTAGCTCAGGACCCGCCATGTTTCAGAGGGGGGCATTATTTGCGGCCGGCAGGTTTCCCAAACTTTGGTTATCCCACTCAAGTCCTCTCCTTCTAAATTGCCCTGAGCCGCGGACAAGGCGTCGCACCCCGTGTCTCATGTTTCCCCATCAGCCCACCGCTCCCGCTATGCTAACTGACAGTGTTCAGTGTTCAGTGTTTCACGCCCCACCCGCCCACGGCTGTTCTTCGGCTTACGGTACTTCGTCCGGCTGTACCCATTCTACAGTTTTCCCGGATGCCGGCCCGTCGCCTGCGCGTTACAGTACTTTCGGAGCCTCCACCTGAGGGCTTGTGGAGTTGCCGGCTGCTGCACGGTGAACTTTTGACGATTTAGAGCCCCGGTCTTGGCTCAGTGGGTTTATTGTTGCCTCCATCGCGCGGTCTTGTTACCGGTTGAGCCACCGATGTTCCCTGTTGATGTGACTTTGGTGCTGGCCGCCGGTTGATTGTCGGGGAGTTATGTCTGCGCTGAGCGAGGAGGCGGGGTACCTTTTGCGCCCGGGGCCACATCTGGAGCCCGTCTTAACAGTTGATTCACTGGTGGCCCGCTGGCCTGTCCAACGGTTCCACGGCTCCATCCAGGAAGGATAAGGAGGAAAGGTCAATGAAGCACTTGTCAAGTGCTGCTGGGCCCGAATCAGTGTCCTCGGATAATTCAGCCAACAGGGGCAGTAGTGATCTCCTGGATGGCGCTTCACCACGATGGCTTTTTTGGTGCTTTCTAATGGAACACAGATGTCACCGACCCTAGTGATACCTCACTACACCCGCGGCTTGTCGTCAAGGATCCCACAATTGTCTGTCGCTCGTCGGTTGGGCTGTAAGTATCCCTACCGGACTGTCAAAGCTCGCAGCAAGGATGGCACCAGGGGTTCCAACACTAGCACGGGCGGCTGTCGGTGATGTGCTACTGTATAGTACGAGTGCGGCAGACAAATATATTCGCCACATGCCTTATCTAAGGACACATCGCAGCCGGGGGGTTCCCCCATATTTTCTTATCAGACTCACGTGATGAATCTATCTATCGGCCGCACTCGTAGCGCCCTGTCTAACCTATATACGGTACTATATTCTTGCTAATCTAGCGTATAACCATCAAATCCCTTGGCACTCCTCCCCCCAGAACAAAAAAGACAAAACAACTAAAGGCAAGGAGATTTACTAGCCAAATGCTAATTTGTCAGGTCCTTCCTTCAACAATATGTCCGCGATGGATAGCCGTTGTCCTTATTTACCATCTTGTCTAAGGTAGGGGAGGAGTAACATTTTCATTGACGGGGGAACCCATTCCAAACCTAGATCAGAGTGTTTGCGTTGCTCCTCATGTGTCCCTTTGCGATATTTTGGTTTTGATTGCTTATTTTTGTGATAACTTATGCACTAGGGGACCCTTAGATTTGCGACGGCATGTGCACGCGGGTGTTCCCCGATGTCTTACGGAATTGACAGGATGGGTTTGGCTTGGACCACTGCAAGGCTGTTCAGGAAATGTGTCCGCCAGGTACTCATAGTTTCTCTGCGTGTTATGTCTTTGGCTCGTGGAATAAATTATTTTTGAATGTCCAGACCACAAACCCCCGGTACAGATTTGCCATTCCTTGTCACAAGCAACCCATCGCAGAGAGTCAATACAGAAGTTCGCTCGCCTGCAACAACGATTATCTTACAAGCAGAGGGAGTAGTCAGCGCTACCACCACCACTGACCATATTAGTGTTGTTGGTAACAGGGTGCGGGAACCCCGGTGGGGCTCTACTGTTTTCACAGTCTCCGAGTCCTCCAGTCCCCCGCTACCCGGAAATCCCCTGTGGCCTCTTGTGCCCCCCACACCATTGAAGAAACGACAATGACTCGCTTGATGCGCTTAGTCCCTACGGCTCCACTCTCCCAGTGTTCTGGCAGACTCATCCGCCAGTATTTCTAATAAAGGCTCACCGCAACATATCCTGCGAACCCCCAATACAGGTGTAGTTGCTTCAAGGCCTCTAGTACTTCGAAGAAGCGACCGCAAGGCAACCAAGAACTCGCAGAAATGGTTTATAAAACGGGTCCATGTGTCACTCAAAGTCTTATAGCAGGCTCCCAATTTCTTTACCCACCTGATCGATTGGGACTCAGAGCAGTTCCTCTCCGGATGCGCCCTCATATTCGCCTGCCTCGAGGAACTGGCAAACTCTATTGTGCATGTTGGTCAACATCATTCCTAACACCGGAACGCGCCATGGACGGATAATACAAGTTTGTCACTGCATTCCCGGTGGCGGGGAAATTGGCTTTGAAGTACAGTGGGGAGTTGTTTATCGCATTCGGCTGGGCTTCTAGTATGAGAGCATTAATAAAGCAAGGCTATGGAAGAGGAGGAGACAGTCAAAGAATCTGTAGGTCCTTAACACTCCTACAATGTTGGAGGTACCATATATATACATAGATATGTCATCGGATCAAAAGTTTTCCCTAGTTCCACAAACCCCAACTACATTCCTCGGTGCTACAGCGTTTCCACGAAATTCCTGATCACTCCGCCGGCCGCCAGATAGCTCTCCCATCTGATCACTGAATCCTTCGTAGTCTCGCCTCCTAGACCTGGATCCTTACCATCGTTACCACCATGCAGTCACACTTTTATCATCTGATTTCCCCAAACAGTTTACGGCCACCTTATTCTAAGGCCGGATAGTCAGGTAGCAATCCTGATGGTTAGCAAGCCCTGCTACCTTGATTGCTCATACCTCCCGGTTCCCCCAGACCAACCAATGCCTGCACCCCAGAACATTCATGCAATTTTACCGTGAACTATTGTATGCCAAATTGGCTTTCTCACTCCGGCCTTGCCTCCCAGACCGTGGCCACAAAGAACCTGTAATCCCTTCACCACTTGTCCCGTATATGAAAATTTGACCCAACCCCCTCTGCTGCTCCTTAGTTAGGGTTGACGGCTAGGGGCGGGGGAGGACAACACTTCCGCCTCCTGCGATTCAAAGCCAATCTTTTTCATGCGGTGAAATGCGTGAAAACAGAGGGTGGGGGGGTTATAAAATGCGCGGCTAAGGCTCTAGCCAAGTACTGGCACAGCAATAGAAATCTGGGCAGCGGATGTCCCGGATCAATATGAATCAGGGATGCTGGCCCGAGGATTCACCACGCAACTTGCTACCTTGCTAGTTAAACATCTGATACAAGGGCGCCTCTGAATATCTACCTCCGGGGCGGCATGAATAGGTTGTATGGTAGTTTTTTGTCGACTAGATCAGAAACCAGAGACCCGGAGATCTATTTAGTGATGAAATGTATTCTAACAAGAGTAACTGGAAGACAGAAGATCCGTGAAGTACATGTAGGAATGGAAAGAGAACAGAAAAAGGAACAAGCTGTTAGACCCTCTATCTGCCTTCATTTGGTAATTTCTCCTCCCTCCAACCCAATGGATCGCCCCACGCGTCCAATAACTTTAGGAAAACAACAAGTGCAGCGCGCTCATTAATAGCAAATTCCGAAGCTCTAACAACAACTGTGGTGCTGCGAGCGGTCGCGTGTTCCGATGCTGTATCATAGAGCTTGTGAACACACTCCATAACATTCTCTTCTACTAGTCTACGGCTCTCAACCTCCTCTCTTAGGATAGCTCTGAAGTTCTTGCCTTTTGCCAGCTCGTCAAGTGCACTTTGTATTGTTTCCTGCCGCTTGGTCTTGTTCCCTATTCTCCCGTGGTTGGCGATCCGTTCTGTGGTTGAATGTTAGTAACTACACAAATCGGGTGTATTGTGATAGCATACCTAGGGCGGTGCAGGGATTGAAGTTTCGCTTCAGCTGCATTATTTGATTTTTCGTATCATTGATATCCTTCTGTAACGGAGTCAGACATGGCAGACGCACGAAGACGGGACCCAAACTCACAGATAATGTGCACGCTCGTTTCCTTAAAATGTTAAGTTCCTCTTGCGGTTCCTTCAGGTAGTACTCATAGGCCCTCTTAGTCTCCCGCAGCATCTCCCGGAAGTCGGACCTAAGGTCCCGCTCTTGCGCCTGACACAGTTCACACCACATGGTACCACATTCGGTTTGAGGCCCTGGGCATGGGGTACTCAATTCCGGCGGGGAGTGAGCACTACGGTACTGGGTGGCACTTATTGCAAGCGTCCGATAGTGGCTGGAATGGAGACTGAGTTGGTTTAGAAAAGGGGAGCGGGTCAGAGGCCAAGAGGGGGAAAGGAAATTTAGGGACCGAAACATGTTTGGCGGGTATGCAGAATCATATGGCGTTGTAACCGAAGAAGAAAGTTCAATGTGGTTTGCTCTGAATATATAGAAAACAAGCCTTGAATTTTTCCACCGTCCGAGCTTAATAAACTGAGCAGCCCGTTGCCCAGAAATCGGGTATGGTGAATATCAACAGAGGGAACCCTGCCGGGGTTGGCATAAAATTTCCATAAGTGCACAGATAAGCCTGGTTTGCTTCCCCCGCATAGGACTAATAGATCACCAGTGGGACACGAGGTTAGGATATGCCCTTTAGGGCATATAGGGGTTGGGCATAGGGTGGTTGCCTGGAACATGTGTTGGTAGACAGAGGGGGTGGGTATTTGCGTGTTCGGTATGGGAGTTTGGCCGGGTTTGCTCGCCCTAGATATATGAGAGGTTGGCGTAGTATAGCAGGTGGTGCTTTATTTTATATCCGATTGCCATCAGGAACCGGATACTTGAGTTTATACAATATTTTCAAGAGTTACCCCGGTGCCATCCAACACATGACTCGTGTTAGATCTTCGGTACATCATGTCGTATTACATAGTTTTTTTTTTCGACCAAGTTAGATCATTCAGTCTATTTTCCCAAGAGTTTTTTATATCTAACCCGGTGTCTGCTATTTCTAGCTATAAAGTGAGTATCACTTAATCTTTCCTCGGATAGTGTCTAAGTCACTTATCTACTATGGTTACTTCTCTGGGTTCTGTCCGTGGCTGCGCGAGCCCGGAGGTTGAACCCCTACTCTGTGTGATGTGATCATGGTTCTTCGGTATGCATAGACCACAAAGGCTAGCGCTCCGAATCGAAAATTAAAATTCATGGTTGCCCATAACTTTCTTCACATATCTCGTAACTATTTTTCTGGAATGGGAAACCCTATTGAGACAATGAATCTACACAGAATAGCTTGTTCCATATGATAGACCCTTTCTTTTGTCAAGTTATGTCGGAGAACAAGGGAAACCGAGGTGGGAACTCCATTCCCCAGCCCCTCTGGGGCAAAGCAGGTGTACCATTGATGGATGAACGTCATTCACTAACATTATCATCCATCCACGAGTTCCCCCCCATGCTCCGCGCTGGGCTATGAAATCCAAAGTTTTCTAACCTTCACTATGTGACTACCCATCCACCTCTTTGCATCTGCTTCTTGGGTACAATTGTGGGTTGCCGCAACCTTGTGGCCTAGACTCCTAGTATAGGATATGTGCTTGTAGTGGTAGTGGAATATTGGATTTCCTGATTTTTTCCCTTGCCCTCTGGACACATACCAGCTTGCAGCTATTCTGTCTTCCCTAAACCCTCCAAGGCCGTGGACTTCAGTTGGCCGGAGAACCAAAATCATTGCTCGCACAATCATAGCTTACCAGGTTCGCCCGCAGTGCTGGGGTCAAAATGGGACTTCAGTCTGTCGATTGAAATGCCATCTGTTTGCTATCATCTCGAACTTCTTCCGGGTCTTCGTTTCGGAAACACAACTGCGGCAACTTCTAATTGGTAGTCCCATCCAGGATATCAAGACCCTCAATAGCGATGGACGGTGGGGGTACCGTGAGGGCTAGATCCATCCTTTCTTTCCATACTACGCTGAAGATTGACATGTATTCAAAATTTTCCAGCTATCAGTTCTGGGATGAGTGTGACAAATCCTCTTGTTTGGCCTGCCATGTCCCTTCAATCAAAATTCCAGCACTGTGGCGGGTAGGTGCAGCTCTGGGAATCTGACAGGAACCGAGTTAGCCATGACATGTTAAACAAAGCATTGCTCCTGATAACACCGTATGATACAAGGCGACGTTCAAGTACTCTACAGCACCCGTAAGGTGGAGGGAATCCTGAAGGCAATGTTTGCTACAAAAGCCTTTCATTTCAGCCGCCACATCAGCGAATGTAACTTTCCGAACACCTTTCTGCACCGAAAGGCCCATATTGTCACAAAGGTTGCCTATCTGCCTGAAGCCGGAGTATAACACTCCGTCATATCATATCCCTCCATTTTTCTGCTCACTCATGGGAACACAGAAGCCAAACGCCAGAAAATAGAGGGTAAGTGTGTCAAGGCCTTCAGCATGGGACTTGAGGAGAGAGAGCCATCAAAGTTACAGACAGATTTTAAAGGGTTTAGTCTTTAGACTATGGAGGAAGTTGCAGGGGGGGCGGGGGGGCAGGATAGCCGACATGAGAACCATTTCCCCCTGATTCCCAAGCCAGCTTGCCACCCCAGAATTTCCCGGCAGTCAGCGGTAGAGTTGACCGGGGGACGCGCAGACTCGCAGGCTCGCACGGACGGACCGGACCCCCGGGGAAAATAGCAGAATCCTAGTAGTTAGAACTGTAACAGTATGAATCCCGCTCTCACCAAACGCGATGAGTAACACTACTCATCCAATCATACATTTTTAGCACTCCCGAGAAGATTTCACAAGCTAATGCTGGTTATTTCAGGCAGAATACTTTAACGCCAAACAAGGTATGACATAGATTATAACGGTAAGCGGGCTCCCGAGTTTGAAATAAGTGACCGGGTCAGGTGTTGTAGGCTGTTTGGTTCGGGTGTGCAAAATCAATTCCAACTCTGACCATGAATGAGAATAGTACCATGAACTTTGCTGGATGTTCAAGTTGCCGGATTGGAGTCGCGCATCACATTTAGTGAGTTACCACCGCAATGGAGATGACCCCAATCTGGCGACTGGAGTACAAGAACCACGAAACAGCTAGAATTTATTACCGAGGCCCTATTCGTTAGTCCCAATAAATATAATATTATGATCATAAATTATTTTCACCTTACCCCAACCCCCAATGGTGGCGGAAGATAAGCTCAGAAGATAAGCTCAGAAGCAGAGGTAGTTGTTATTTCCGCATAGTACAGGTAGACCGGCAGTCCCCCCCTCGAGGGGCTGTAGAATTTAAACCTTCTATTGCTTATCTGCAGACTTTTTACCGAAATCTAGGCCCGCGCGTAACCTCGGATCTCGCAGGAAACTCTCTGGTTATTTTGCCCAAGTCACAGATATTTGTTGATTTTGCCTCTGCTCCCCTCCCGCTTCCCCTTCCTGCTAGCCGGTTAGCTAACCTTCTAAGGACTAGGTCATCAGATTAGACCTGCTACCGGATGACCAGATACCACTTTTGAGATAGTTGTGCGTTACAGTACAGTACATATGGGTCTGATTTGATATGACTGTTCTGTTACGTTTTCGCATACAAATATGGTTAGGGTTGGATCACGTAACTTAATGACCCCTTTTGTGAAGGAAAACGGAATGCAAAAGACATATCCCAACAGATCCTAATACTCGCAGATAGCTGGGCACCCACCACTCCTAAGTTTGGTATGATAACAGAGGAGGCAGTGGGTGGGATAATTTCGGAGGAGTAGTGAATGCTGTCAATGAAAACACCTGCCTAGTGAGGACAGATTATTTTGAGACATACTGGTATCCACCCTCAGTACTGTACTCCGTAATCAATACTCCTGCTATTGTCGTCTACCCTAAACAGAATGGGCAGAGTGGTGTCTTCAACTCATACATCTATGAGATCAGTTCTCACTTCCGAATAACTTATTTCGGCGATTGGGAAATAGGCTCGGGCTGTTTGAAAAATAATATAACACATTTTTATCGCGTCACGCCAAGTAGTTACCAAAATTTTGATAAGTACCTGTGGACCTAAGGAAGGCAGGGTGTCTCTCAAGTAGAGAATATTCAGGGTTCATGGAGGATCAAGTTGACCGTGGGGGGCGGCCTTTGACCTACCGGAACCATGCAAATGGCGTTGCTACACTCATGGCGCGGTTCTTGTGGTGCGGCTCTTGTGGTGCGGCTTTTGTGGAGCGGCAATTACGGTTAGACTCTTGTCACGTGCAAGTGTTGTTGAATCAAATTCCAGACATCAGCAACCGCTAGTTTCACTTCCGTAGCCCCCATTTCATCTCACCACCTCCTCAAGCGCTACTTTATTCAATTGAGACTGCTAAGCTCACCTAGCCATACTGGACTTGCCATTCTTAAGAAGGACGGTAGTTCCGATGGCGGCGCTGCCATGGCTCTGACTACCCCGGCTAAGAGATGCCGGCCTGAATCTCGAGCCGCAAATGCGTGCGGTATGGATAACCCCGATGTTTATTCACTACTATGGCTGGGGTGTGGGGAGCAGCAATAACAGGAATGAGGGAAGCCGTACCAATCCAAGACCAAAGTCCATTCAATCCGTGCTAGTGAGTCCTCAAACAGTGATTTTGATACTGATTGCATATTTTCAGATAGCTTGCTTCTGCCAGTGTGCCTGGGCGGCATTTGCCTAATAGGATAGGTGGGATATGATTGGCTAGCGTTGCTGCAATACCATTTGGGAAATATGCTGGTCTGATAGCCTCGTTATCTTCTGTGTTGTTGGCTGGTGAGATGCTTTAAGTTAGGATTAAATCTCAGAAAAAATAGACTTCCTACAAGGCTTTAATCTTCCTTGTCACTAGTCATCTACAGCATACAGTCAATACAGGACTTTTCTCAGCAACGACGACCACCCTCGGCGGAGAAGGGGCAGCCAGAGCAATTATCGCCAACATTACCCACACTATTGATGATAGGAGACTAGAGACCGAGTGCCACAGCGCAAAAACCTGGTAGGACTATAATATTGGTTCAATCTCCTCGAGTCCCCCACAAAGCCGACATCCCCCATGGTTTCCCCTGCTCCCCGGGGTTGGGGAGAAGTGAGAATAACTCACCGCAGCATCCTACTGCCATTGACCACACTCTCATTCGTGTTCTTGTGGAACTATACACCAACTAACTGCGCAACTCCCAATGAATTCCCAAGACAGTTGAAGCAGCGGTAAGACCTTGTGCTTTGGCGAAGCGATCACAAGGCAAGCGAGAATGTGTGGAATTGTTTCTCTGGGTCGGCTTGCGGGTTAGTGGGAGGTAATACAAGCTCTTGGTATAGATCCTTGATCCTCGATCCGCCTTGCTTACCAGACCACTGCCTAGTTCCTAATTGGACATACCAGTA